GACTTTGTCACCCGTAGACCTGCCGGTCCGAGTGTAGCTAACAGCAAGGTGCGGGATTGTCAGTCCCGTATAGATCTATACACAACAATCACGCTCTCCCTACAAGAGATTCTGGTCACAAGTGCTAGTCCTACACTCTATTTCTTGTGGTGAGTGTTACCAAGGACGTGTCTCCAACATAGACTAACAAATTTACAAGTAATAATATAGAAAATCCTTTTGTGATTAACATGAATCCTTTATAAAACGATACATTTTACTATATGATTCATAAGTTCATTGCTCTAGTTTTGAAAACTGTTTCTACAAGTTGATTTGTTAATCGTTTGGTAAAACTGTTTCCGTGTTAAAAGCATACTGAAAATATAATTATCTTAAACAAAATAGTATATTTCGAGTACAAGTTTCCTTGTACTTTTGCTTGTATTCCCCCCTGAAAACATGAAAAACTCGGAAAAACGTAGGGGTATAAACTCACCTCGGGCGATTCGGATGAAAGATCGATACGGAATGCGGGATGTTCAAGTGAAGCCTTGAACACAATTTGATCCTAATTAACATGTAATGACACATAAAGGAGTCAAATGAAGGTATTTCCCTACTAAATATGATGGCGAACCACTCTAAGAACTTGGGACTACTTACACTAAGTGCTAGGACCTTAAAGGATTGCATAAGGGAGGTGTATGGCCACCTTAAAGGTGTGTGCGGCCATGGGTGTGCGGCCCAAGGGGTGTGCGGCCGTACACTCATGATGGAAGGTGCCTTTGAGGTGTTTTCAAGGTCCATACTTGCATCCATGAAGTATTCTAGGTCCATACTTAGTTATAGTACAAGTTTAGGGTCTTAGAAATGGGTTTGTGGTCCTAGGGTGAGTGTGTGGTCGCACACGGGAGTGTGCTGCCGCACACAAGGAGTGTGCTACCGCACAAGGGTGTGTGCGGCCGTACACAGGTGTGTGCGGTCGTACACCCTACATGATAATGTCTAAAAAGCCAACTCTAAGGTGTAGCAAAGCTAGGTTCATGTTCAACTCGAATATGGAAGTCCAACTCTCACTTTGGAGGGTATTTTAGGAGTGTGAGGCCACCTTATGTGGGTGTGCGGCCGCACTCCTTCAAATAGATGAAGAACATGTCGGGACTCAATGATTCAAGGTTTAGATTAAGTGGTTCTTCAAGCACAACAAGTTAAGGGATGGATTACTCACGTTTTGAATCCTTGGGAGGGTTTGTGGTTGAAGAAGCTTGAGAGAAAAGGTGTTGTGTGCTGCCAGGACGTTAAAGGAATGAAAGGAAAAGGGTCTACCCTTTATATAGGGGTGGATGTGTGGCCATGAGGGGTGTGTACGGCCGAACACCCATGTGTGCGGCCGCACACTCCTCCAAAAGGGGTGTATGGCCCGATTTCGTCACTATAAGACTTGCCGACTCATTCCTAATCTCGACCTTGGTTGTACTCAAGCTTAGAACGCTTAAATGAACCCTTAATCAGTGTTAGGAGTTAACAGAAACGAGTTTAACTTAGATTAATTGACTAGATGTACCAGGTAGAAGTTTCGGGTTGTCACACTATGTCAAAAATGGAAGAAATGAGCTCAAAACTCATGCATGAGACCAAGGACCCCATGACACACTAGATCTGGAACATATAACCACAAAAGGACCTCAAGGATCCATAAAGTTGCTAACTTGATGGAATTCATCCATCCAAACACCAAGAACATGAAGAAAAAGCTTCTAAGTATATATCTAAGATGAATGCACACAAAAGATAAAGACTTGTGGACTTACAAGAGTCCATAATATGTGCAAGAAGATGATGATGAGATCTGCCTGTTGGATCTATGCACCAAGAACACCTTCTTCTTCTTCAAGGTCACCAAAGCACCACAAAACACCATAAAAGCTTCAAAACGTCAACAATGAAGGCTAGGGTTTTCTTTAGGTCGAGAGGATTTGATGGAGGCTGAGGGTGAATAAGCTCTATGTCAAACCCCCGAACCGAGTAAAACGGCGGAAACGTCCGAGGGTGGATGACGTCATGTATAGTATCATAACAATTACATAATAGAGATCAAAGCATTACAAACATTGTATTGATAATTTAATAATTACATTGAGTTCGAATCATTGTTTGTTTGACTCCAAAAACATATAGCAAAAATATAAGACGTAATCCGTCTTCACAAAACCTGTGTGGGTACCTGTCTACTGATTTCCTGAGAATACAAGTGGTTTTGAAAAAGAGTGTCAACATTTAAGTTGGTGAGTTCATAAGTATTTTGTATGAGAAATATATGTCTTTGTTCTTTGAAAAATGATGGTGTTCTTCCAGAAAATCCAATATTTTCTTTTAGATGTAATGTAGTCTTAAACACCCTAAGATTGAAAATGTATAAGTATTGTTGTACTCTGAAGTAGTATAATGTAGTTTTATATCTTTATAAAACCATTTGAATGCGTGTTTCCAAAAATGTAAACTGTATTGTATTGAAAAATAATGTAATGTAGTTTTATCGAAATAAAACCATTTGAAGACATGTATGTATTCGTCAACCAAACGTATCGTTAATACCCCTTGTGAGTTATTATAACCATGCTAATGACCTAGATGGCCTGCTACGATGTTCTTCAGACGTTGGAATGGTACGACATTTGTCACCCCAGACCTGCCGGTCCAACTGTAGCTAACAGTTTAGGTGCGGAATTGTCAGTTCCGTATAGATCTATACACAAGTGTCACACTCTCCCTCTTGGAGACTCTGGTTATAATACATGGACTTTAGTATGTATTGTGGTAAGTACGGTGAAGAAATGTCTCACAAAGCCATATTGACTGTTTACGTGTAGTATAATGAAAAATCATTTTCTTGTAAATGTATGTATTATCCTTTTATAGTATTTACATAGTAAGAAATAATTATACTTTCAAAACAATTATTTCTTTGTCCCCAAAGGGTAAAAGGGTGTGAATGTTCCATAAACTATACCTATTATAGTTTATAAAAATGTTTTGTTGAAATAATGAATCATTTGTATGTTATTATCAATTTACCCTGATAATAAAGTGAAATGAAATAATTATATATGTATGTTTATATAATTATACACTTTTTGCTCAACATGTTACAAAAGGGTTAAAGTTTTATTGTATCAAATTTGTACCCATATGTATATTTATATTTAGTAAAAATATAAATGAAACGGTTTGTATATTAACGCAATTTTTATTGTGTTTTACTTGTATCCCCCCCCCCTCCAAAAAAAACATATAAAAATCGTGAAAACTGTAGGGGTATGAACTCACCTCGGGTGTGTTCTTGGTTGAATAACGAGGTGACGACGGTGTTCTTCAATTTATAGTACGTAAACGTGTTCGTATCCAAATCCTAAGAATTATCTTGGAAGAATGGTTTTTGTTCTTGATGTTTCTGGGTAAACTGTTTGAAGTTTTGAAGATTGTTCTTGGGAGACTTGAAGATTTGAAGAAATTCTTATGAATTTAGAGACAAAAGTGAGGGGCGTTTAAGACGTAAAATGAGAAATGAGGATGGGTTCTCGGTTGATATTTATATATGGGGTAAGAATTGATTTGACATGTGCATTGGAATGTGTAATTTATCATTTTGGGGAGTGTGTCACCGCTTGAAATCAAAAATTTCGGCCTATCTTCACCGAAATCATAGGTGATTTCGGTCCAATGTGTAACCGATAACCAAGTCTTCGGTCCAAGTGGTTCTCGGTCTCTCATGATCTCGGCCAAGGAGGTTCTCGGTGGAGGGTTGATTTCGGTCAAGGCTTAGGGGATTTTGGTCCTAATTGCTCCACAAAAGGGATTTCGGTTTTGGTGGGATTTTGATTCCAAAAACCGAAAACCTTAAAAGAAATATTTATTTTCCTTATTTAATTTAAACTATTTAATTATTTGACTTGTGTTTAAGTCGTTTGACCTTGGTTTGACTTACTTGACTTTTATTGATCCGAAATAATTGGTTGTTACACTCTAGCTATCACATCCCTTAAATAGGATTGAAACCCAAAAAATTAAGGTTTTAAATGCTGGCCTCCATAACGTCGTGGTCAAGATCATGCCACATCGTGGTGCATAAATGAAAGGCCCGTTTCTCATCGGGTGAGGCCACGTCGTTGTGCCTTCCCCACCACGTCATGGCCACCCAAAACTTTATATATTAAGTCTTAAATGCCATAAACACAAAAGAAGTATATACTTAGAACTTCTTTTTAGAGTTTCGTGCATACAATGATGTTGATTGGGATGACCATCTTAAATCCTAATAGTCACAAGTTTATTACTGATTTTTGTATTTTTCTTGGAGATTTGCTTATTTAATAGAAGAGTAAGAAACAAGATATTATATCTCCGATCATCCACAAGATTGAGTATCAAGTTATTGTTGTGACTACTTGTGAGATTGTTTGGTTGCTTTGGTTACTTGTTGATATGTGTACAGATGATTCTCAACCCACTCTTTTACATTGCAACAACAAAGGTGTGATGTAGGTTGTGTAGAAGGAATCGAAGCATATTGAGATCTTCTTTTATTTCACTCATCATCATCAGCTTGAAGCTATCTCGTTTCCCTATGTTCCTTATGGGGAGCACTACCTTGATCTCATTAACATTATGTCGGTGTATAACAAACAAATCAAGAAAACATTTATATGACTTCTAATTACCAAAGGTGGTCTAGTTACAAACTTACAATCACTTAGTATAAACAATCCATAATGGAGGTTCAAATCTCACATGTTTTAATCTTAGAATGACCTATCCTTCAAAAAGGAATTATATGACTTGTAAATAATTTTGTACAAATAGACAACAAATAAATATAACACTCAAACTCAAAACCTCACACACAATCCGGCAACAAAATAGTAAAATTTTATTGTGTGAAGTTGGAAAGATTATTCCATGACAACAACAAAAACCAAAATATGCATTGTCAAATAGACTTTGACACATGTATATCATATATCACCAACATTGTCACAACAGCTAGCAAGATACTAACCGAAAATCCCTAACCCTAATTACACTTTCTCAAATCATTTCCTACAACCAAAAACAACATGTATAACCTAACACATATCTAAAAAAACCAAAAAACACCATTTTCAACATTTTCTATTGATTTGAATTAGATTATTTACACAAGGGTTTCATCAATAGTCAGCTTGAAGAAATTTCTCATAAGCCGTTCCACTTAAAGTCTTGTTGACTTCATCCCAATTTTCAATATGTTCCGATAATGCCCCTTTGTGTATCTTCACTTGTTGACTAGTCAAATTCATTCGTGGCAGCTTCAGAAAGTCTTCCACTTGCATCATTTTCTGCTGCAGTTGTTGCAATTTACAAACAAGAAATGATCACAAGTTTTGTTTTTCAAAGTTGAGTTGTACTTTGTGCAATGATAGTTGTACATAATAAAAGAGACTTGACTTACAGAAGGGTCTCTAATGAGATCTTCATAGTAGATGATGATGTGTCTTGTTGTATTGAAGTAATTGAGTGCTTTCATTGATGTTGATTCCATTCCTCTTAAATCCGATTTTAAAGATGTTATGTTTATATTGGGCTTGTATTTAGAAAGTAAAGAAGCCTGAAAAAGAATAACAAGAAAACTGATTTTTAAGGCAGATGTAAAATTACCAAACTACCCCTGACTTCAATAGGATTCTCCGACTTCCTATTTTCCAATTGTGTTATGCAAATTATTAACACACAATTTTTCATAGAGGTGAAAACAATTTAATGCAAGATTTGAGTGATTGTTGCTAAAAATTTATGCATAGATTCTTGATAATTGAGAGGGAGAAAATTGTCAAAAACCTCTTCAGGCGAGTGTACATGAGACACGTGGACCCCATTTAGAAGCTTGGCATCTTTATCGAATGCATTTGCAAGCATCGAGACCAATCTACGCAACATATTTCTTCGTAAGAGGAAAATGACATTTACGCCCCTATCGTTGAAGTACTCTGCTATTTCTTTAGGATGTTGCATCAATCCCTATATTGTCATAAAACAACCGTTTCTCAAAAGATATATCATGATTTTTAATCACAAATAGCCACATATACTTTCATTTATCAGTGTATTATAGCATCCTACTTTCATGAATGAATCTATGATGTTATAATTAACAGATCAATGAAAGTATGTTGCAAAAAGACATAAATGCCCTCATCATTAAAAAACATCCCTAGAAAGCTTCTCAAGACTTGTCCCTAAGTACCCATAATCCTAGTATGTATGTAACTTAAAGATTCCCTAACTTACAAGGGTAAGAATGGAAAAACGATTAAAAAGATTGTATATTTATACCTGATTAAGCATCCATTTGAAGCCAATTGCAGCAGAACATTCATTCTTTGAAGAACTAGTAAACCAATCAAGATTATAAACTGTATCAAGTGTTTGAATAATCGATGAAACATTATTCCTTCTACTTTTTGGACCAAAAATCTCTCCATTTGAACTCACATTTACATGACTATTCAATAAAGTCTCAAACCACCCACTTCCCGATCTTTGCATAGACACAATCGCAAACAATCTCACAGGGTTTCCCGAACATTCTGACCTGAAATTTCACCATATTTTATCTCAAAATCCAACGAATCTTTATAAAAAAAGAAAGATTTTTTTGAAATATTTACCTATTGAAAGTTTTGGGTTTTGGGTAATGCAAGAAAGGGATTTGGGAACGATCAACGATTGTATCAGAACATGGCCTCTCGAAGTCATCGAAGAATAAAAACTTGTTCTTGTTTTGAAGATTCATTTGTTTTAAACAAATGGAACATATATAAATACCACACACCATTGCGAATGCTGATAGCATTAATCTCAACACCAATGAAGCTTTTTTTGGAGGTTTGATTGTAAGAGTATCCTGTAATAATAGTAATCAGATTAACCACTTGTATATTGTGCATCGAAAGTTGTACCTTGTAATGGATTTGGGAAGAGGGTTGGAGTAAAACTGTAAATGAAGCTAGATTTACTTCTTAATTAAGAGTTTGTGAGCTTAAAAGAACAGTTATGAAGAAACTGAAAGACAGATTCGTGAATAAATTGCTAGATTTTTTAAGTAAAAACAGTTACTAAAGAATCTAAAAGGCAAATACTATCAAATCATATGTAAATTTGAAGGTGATTTGCGGTTTAGGTTTCGACTTTCGACATAAATCTCTACCCAAATCAGCAAATGCGAAGAACATCATGAAAATCATACAATGAGAAGAAAAGAGGGAAGAAGAAGAAGAAGAAGAAGAACAGAAACCCAAAAACGAAACAGTACCTTATTGAAGGAGAAGAGAAGTTCCGCCATTAAACGATCTCGATAAGTAAAAAAATCGAGATCTTGTGATACAATTCTTCACTTGTTCTCTTTCGTCGTAATGTTGATTTCTCGAAATATGCATATGTTTAGAGAGAGAAAAAGAGGAACCCTAGACGAAACAAACAAAGCTCCTTCTAGTAAAGATCAAAAAGGCAAAAAAACAGCTGGGTATCTGGCTTTTAGTCGGACTCTTTCCAGATTATTATATAAGGGAATAGAATAGAATAGAGTTAATTAATCTGTTCTCTGATCTATGAAAGAGATTGTGTAAAAGCTTCGACGTAATTAATGACGAAAATGTGAAGAAAGGTGATGAAGAAATGGAATTAATCTGCAAACCCACACCCACCCACTGCAATTGCGCGTGTAGATGTTTGAATGAGTGAAGGGATTTTGACTTTTGTTGCAGATTTCACGCACCAAAAATTCATGATGCCCAAACCAAAAATTATAATTTAATGCGACAAGAACAATATGATGTTAACAACAACATTTTCCAATTTTCAGACAATCCCTTTCTTTTGTATGAACTTCACCTTTTTTATTTTATGAGCAAATTAAATATATTTATATTGTGAAAGATATACTTCCAAAATTAAATATATTGTTTATAAATCAACTCTTCTAAAATATGTTTATATTGTGAAAGATATACATGAACAAATTTATATAATTTGTTTATGTATAAATTTTAATTATTATGTGAATGATGACATAGGTCATTCATTGATCTTAGCCTGATATTGTGAAATTCAAAATTGATAATAGTTGTTAAGTTTTTTAAATTATAAAATGTTATTTGGATAATGATCGACTTAATTATACCCTTAATCAAACTAATGGACGACAATTAATCATATATTCACGTAATATATTTGCAATTTGCATTTAATCTTAACCGACTAAAATATAAATTTAATTGTTTTAACTTTTTTTAGTTAGGTTGTAACTTGGTACAATTGTTGTTTTGTAGTTGGTTTTTCTTTGGATAATTTGCATCCATGATTCAATAATAATCTTGTGATCGAGTAGAAATTTTAATGTTCTCTTTTGTGTTTTTTTATAAACCAACTTTTCATATAAACATGCTAAAGATTTTTTGTACAGCCTTTGGAAATGACTTCACAAATAATTGAAAAGTGAATATACTTATATCTAAAAGTCGTTTTTAACAAGCCCACCCTACTTTTTTAGGGATCTAAATTAAGGTGCTGTTTTTTTTTTCTGAGGCAAAATGTCTGCAGTCTGCGGACCACATCTGTAGACATCTGCAGTAGAAGAGGTGGACCAAACGTCTGCAGTCTGAAAAAAAAAGACTGTTTATTTTTTTAACATCTGCGGACTACTAAAATAAACTGAAATCTAAATAAATTGATTTTTTTAAACTTCAAAGTGATTTTTTAATATTTTTATGACTTTGTTATAAATAATTAACGAATCTAGATCAACTTTTATGTATTATTGTATAAAAAATAAAAAAAATGGTATGAATTAACGTATATATATTTGATAAAAACCAACAACTTTGGTTGCAAAGTTATAACTAAACAGTATAATTAGTGATCAAAGAATTTGATACATAAATGGATGGAAATAAACTTCGATTTTTTCAGTTAACTCCATTAAAAACGTACCATAAATATTTTCTCGAGAAATTAACGATAATGTATTAAATAATGTTTTACAAAATTTGGCAAAAAATATAAGAATATATTATGATTTTTTTTTTCATATTTATATAAACAACTTCAACGACTATTATTGTAATAAATCTTTATTTATAAATTTGTCAAAAATATTATGTTTGTATTGTCGAACGTTTTTTTAAGTTTTGTAATTTTTTTTCAAATTGTTTATCATTAATAAAGTTGGAAAAAATATAAATTAAAAAAAAACTTAAAAAAAATAAAGATATATATGTTTTTTTAGGCTAGAAGATGTCTGAAGATGTTAGAAGACTCTGGTCCACATCTGCGCCAAGAAGAGGGCGCGCAGACATTTTTAGGTCTGCAGTCTTCAAAAAAACAAACAGTCTGCGAAGACTAATGTCTGCGCGTGGTCTGCGCGGCGCAGACAGAAGAGGCCACGCAGATCTGCAGACAAAAAACAAACACTACCTAAGTGTATATTGTGTCAGTTAATTTCAATATATGATAAAGGGGTATTAAAAAAATCACAAACATTATTTTCAAACTACTATCAAAGGCAATCAATTGAAATTTTATGTTCACAATATATATGTATTTTAGTCCCTTCGAGGACATCCGATAAATTAGAATGATACTTAGAAATTTAGCATGGTCTTGCGTAAAGATGACATGTACAAATCAAGAAATGGTCTAAATATATTTATTTAATAATAATTGTGAACAACAAATTTTTCATTACTAATTTGTAATAGTTTTTAACAAATTACTAAAATTTTTCTCTGTGCGTAAAATGCCTATCATAAAATTTTGTGGCATTCCTAAAGATTTTAACTATACATGTATATGTACAAAGTTTATAGAAGAAACATACTTAGTTATAAAAGCTAGTGTTTTATTCTATACTTGCATACCAATTATGCTTGGCTTTTATAAACTATATATAAATTCATTATGCCTAATAAATTATCCACTTATAAGTTAGGGCTGAGAGTTTTTCACCTACCTTAGTTAATGGTTTTTTAGTGAGACTATATTCATTAGCTGAGACTAAACATTTAGTATACCCACACTACTATAACCGTTAATCTTTTGAACGAGATACATATGTATAGATCTATACGGGGTTGACATTCCCACCTGTGGTTGCTAGTTACAACCTTGACCGATCAATCGAAGCGGGTGATAAGTGTTTACTATCGTTACTACGACGTATAATGAAGCAACATAGAGGGGGTACATACAGTCACATAGCTCGGTTATAGGACTCACTATGAACATTAACTAGAATTTCTCTCTTTTACTACAAATCCATGGGCGTGGTTGTTTTCAAAACTATGTTAAGTATGGATTTACTTATACAAAGATAAATTTGGTTTTTTTCATAACTTATACAAAGACTCTTTACAACCATTGTTTTAAGTATGGTTATACTTACAAAGGAAATACTTTCTAGACTTTTTAAAAGTATCACTGCAGTTAGCAGAAAACCTATGACTTTCACCAACTTTATGTTGACCCTCAAAATTACATGTATTCTCAGGAAATCGGTAACTCAAGCATTCAGAGGACAAATAAACATGGATTTCAGGCAATATAGTTTACTAGCTTTTGTTATGTTAGCCTACCTGTTAAGGATATTCATGTATTATTATTATTATTATCTATAAGAACATTGTATTCAAACTCAAAGATGGAATACAAATTGTGACAACCCGAAATTTTTTTGCCTTGTAAAGTCAGTACAATCAACCTTAAGTCAGACTCGCTCCTGCTATCTTTTAGCACTGTTTAGAGTCTGTTTGAGTGTTCTAAGCCTAGTACATTCAAGGAATAAGTGTTAAGAAGTACCTGCTAGAGTCACTGTACAACATTCAAGCCTTAAACACCACCAAAAGGAGTTCACGGCCATAACACATGAGTTTACGACCGTAAACTCAAGGTTGGCCGTAAACTCCCCCCATAAGTCTCATTCCCCTTCACTTTCTTTCATTCTTACACTTTCAACTCAAGAAACTTCCATTCTCTCTCAAGTATCATCAAGCCTTTCATCCTAGATCTTCAAAAACGTAAGTGTTCTTCCATCTTTGAGTTGATATTCTTCTTAATCTAGTACACCCCTTTGATTTCATCCATGGAAATCATCTTTTGGCTAGATCTTCATCTTTCACCAAGAACACCAAGAACACACACTTGTTCTTGGTGGCCGAAAACTCCTCAAAGACCCTCAAAAGTGTGAGTATTCCATCTATCATATAGTTAGCCATGTTAAACACTGGATCATAGTCTTGAAACAACCACCTTAGCATAAACATCAAGAGTTTACGGCCATGGAATCTCCCTTGGCCGTAAACCCATGTTTTGGTCACATGTTGGTCGCAAACCCTTCTCATATCTAAGCATTAGACCTTGAACCCCTAATGGATGATAGATAGGGCTTTAAAACACCCTCTTGTGCACATTTTAC